GCAGGCGGGGCCGGGATGGGAGGCAGGCGGGGCCGGGATGGGAGGCAGGCGGGGCCGCGCAGCGGTGACGCGCCCCGTGCGCCCGGCGCTGACGTGTCGGTGCGGGCGCTGGCGTGGGACGCGGGACGCGGGGGATGCGGGCGCTGATCCTGGTTGGCGGCTTCGGGACGCGGCTGCGGCCGCTGACCCTGAGCCGGCCGAAGCCGCTGGTGGAGTTCTGCAACAAGGCGGTGCTGCTCCACCAGCTGGAGGCTCTCCGGCAGGTGGGGGCGAGGGGCGCGGGGGGTGCGGGGGCAGCCCCGCCGCCGGCTGACCCGCGCTCCCGCAGGCGGGCGTCAGCCATGTGGTGCTGGCGGTGAGCTACATGTCGGACGCGCTGGAGGCCGCCATGCGGGAGCAGGAACAACGGGTAAGAGCCCTTCCGCCTTTCCCCGCCTCCCCTCGCAACCCGGCCTGTCCCGCCGCTCACCCTGTGCCCGCAGCTCGGCATCCGCATCTCCATGTCCCACGAGAAGGAGCCGCTGGGCACCGGTAGGATTCGGGCAGGGGCTTGGGGCTGGGGGGCGGGCGCAGGCGGGATGGAGGCAGTCCGGGGGCAGCTGGATGGGTGCTGGCGGGGGGACATTGGAAGGGGTATGTCAGGGCTGAGGACTCTGGGAGGGGGCACCGTGGGCATTAGGGTGGGTATGGACACCCCGAGGGGGACACCATGGCAGCAGCGGKGCTAAGGATGGGTAGAGCCGGGAGGAGCAGGGGCATCGGGAGGCGTATGCCAAGATGGACATAGGCAGGACCAGGGACAGCGGGTCGGGTGAGGATCCACAGGGATTGGGGATTTGGGAGGGGCTCTGGGACGGGCACAGGTGGGGCCAGCAGCGGGACCCGGGCGCTGGGCTCACCACGTCCCTGCGCCGTCACTCACGGCCGCGCAGCGGGGCCGCTGGCGCTGGCACGGGACCTGCTGGCCGAGGACGGGGAGCCCTTCTTTGTCCTCAACAGCGACGTGATCTGCGAGTTCCCCTTCGCGGCGCTGGCCTCTTTCCACCGGCAGCACGGCGGCGAGGGCTCGCTGGTGGTGACCCGCGTGGAGGAACCCGCCAAGTACGGCGTGGTGGTGTGCGAGGCTGACACCGGCCGCATCTGCCGCTTCGTGGAGAAGCCGCGCGTCTTTGTGTCCAACAAAATCAATGCTGGGCTCTACATATTTAACCCTGGCATCTTACAACGCATCCAGGTATGAGCCGGGTTGCTAGGCTGGGTCAGGCCACGGGGGGCTGTGCCCCCTGCTCAGCCCTGCACCCCATCCTCGCAGCTGCGCCCCACCTCCATCGAGAAGGAGATCTTCCCGGCCATGGCACAGGACGGGCAGCTCTACGCCATGGAGCTGCAGGGTAAGGTCCTGTGCACTATGCAGGCAGCAYGGGGGGTCTTGCCTGCACTGCCACCCTCATGCTGGGGGCTGTCACCGTGSCTCTGTCCCCACAGGCTTCTGGATGGACATTGGGCAGCCAAAGGACTTCCTTACGGGCATGTGCATGTACCTGCAGGCRCTGCGGGCTCAGCACCCCGAGAAGCTGCACTCGGGGCCGGGTGTCGTAGGGAATGTGCTGGTGGTAAGTGCCAGCYCCCAGCACACCAGCCCCAGGCATGTCATGGGCTCTCTGCATTGTCCCACCACTGTCCTCGCTGCCATCCTCGAGCTGTGCCCTCCTCTTCCCTGGCTGGCCAAGTGGCATGGTCTGTGCCAAGAACTGTCTGCCCTCCTGACCCTGGCACAGCCCCTCTTCCTTCCAGGACCCCAGCGCCAAGATCGGAGCAAACTGTGTCATCGGCCCCAATGTGACGATCGGGGCTGGCGTGGTGGTGGAGGACGGGGTGCGCATCAAACGCTGCACTGTGCTGGAGGGAGCCCGCATCCGCTCCCATTCCTGGCTGGAGTCCTGCATCGTGGGCTGGAGCTGCTCCGTGGGGCAGTGGGTGAGGATGTGGGTGCCCCTGCAGGGAATCGGGGCTCAGCTCTTCCCCTCCCACCTCCTCGAGCTACAGCTGCAGGGATGTGGTCTCTGCAGGCAGGGGCAGGAGCCAGGCACTGGGCYGTGAGCCCCGGGGTGTGACAGGGCCTCTCTGGGGCAGGTGCGCATGGAGAACGTGACTGTGCTGGGCGAGGATGTCATCGTCAACGACGAGCTCTACCTCAACGGGGCCAACGTGCTGCCACACAAATCCATTGCCGAGTCCGTGCCAGAGCCACGTATCATCATGTAGCAGCCCCCGGCAGGCTCTGTGTTCCCGCTCTCCTTGGATTAAATATTTATATTTCCATTTACTGTTAAGCATCACCTGAGTGCAGCCCCAACACTGGGTCACTCACCAGGGGCAGCCTGGCTTCCCCTTCCCATCTTTCAGGGCACCACATAAGGAAGAATAATTTAATGCTGCTTTTCATGAAGTCAGCCCCAAGCCAGGGGCAAGTTAACAGCCCGAACGCCCAGCCCGGCCCCTGAGCCCCAGCCCTGGGGCTGCCRTGTGTTCCCAGTGCTGCCACAGAGCCGAGGCCTCGGGCTCCCCTCCCTGAGAGTGGCCCACRGAGCAGAGAGGCTGCCAGGCTGCTGGCCTCTCCCACCCTGCAGCCCTCCCACCCCACGCTGCTACCCCGTGCCGGGTCCTGACCCTCCGGGTGAGGGTCCCACAGCCCTGAGCAGGGCAAGCATTTGGAGAGAAGCCAGCGTGGGGTGGGGGCTGCCCCGTTCAGCTGGGGGAGCCTGTGGCGCGGGGCTGGGCTCTATGAGCTGGCTGGCTTGGTGAAGTCGTCCACCCCCGTGATGGTGGCCTTACAGAAGAAGCAGTCCTTGTTGTTCATCAGGTGCTGGTTGATGCAGGCTCTGGACAGAGGAGGAAAGAGCATCAGCCCCCACCCACACGGCACAGGGCAGGGCCAGGGGCTGGCAGTCACCTGCTGGGGGTCACACAAGGGAGCTACTCACTTGCATGACTTGTGGGAGCAGGGCCTGAAGATGGCCGAGATGGGGTGTGCGTAGCAGATGGGGCACAGGTCTTCCTCGCTGGTGGGCTGTGGGGTCACCAGGCAGTTAGTGGTGGYAGCCAAAGCCCCATGTCCCAGGCTGTCAGCGGGGGCAGGGCTGGGTCAGGGGATACTCACCAGTGTGGTAGCAGCCGCCTGCTTGGACTCCTCACTCAGATGGGTCAGCATCTTCTCCACCTTTGCCAGCTCCTCGGCACTGATGTACTCTGTGTCTGGGGGGTAAACGGTGTGTGTGKGGGGTGGATGGGACCCTCAGGCTGCCCTGAGGCTGCTGAGTGATTCACAGGGGTTGCAGCTGYCCTTGGGAACCAGCCAGGACAGGGAGCACTGGGCACTGAGTACCACTGGCTGGCACTGGAAACATCCCCATCCAAAGTGCTACAGCTGGGGGTGGAGGAGGGCACAGACACCTGTCCCTGGACATGTTGCAGGAGACACCAGCAGCCCCATTCCTCCCTCCCCAGCTGTGGGTGGGTGCTGAGCACAGCTCGGGTCCCCAGGGCAGTGCCAACACTTACAGGTGTGCAGGGAGAAGTGGCGCTTGTCCGTGGCGGGAGCGGCCACAGCCAGGGCCGAGGGCTCGGCGTGGCCCAGCAGGTACTGGATGGAGCGCAGCTGGAAGCAGGGATCCGCCAGCAGCACCGCGGTGGCGCGCTCGGTCCTGCCAAGGGACACAGACCTCAGACAACCCACCCTGTGCTCCCACACAGTGTCCCCAGGTGCTGTCCCCCCGGTCCAGGGGAACACGTTCAAATGCAGCTAAAGAGCAGCTGCCATCCTCCTCCTCCTCTGCCACCCTCACCCAGAGGCTCTGGGGATCAATATGGTGCTTCAGCACTTGCTGAGCCTGCAGCCCTCAGGCCARTGCTTGGGTTGCTGCAGGGCGGCTGAAGCAGCCAGTGCTGCCCTCGGTCACAGCACCGCAGGGGAAATGCTCCTCAGAGCCTGGGGCCCTCCTGCACCAAGGGGACAGCTCAGGGCACCCTCAGGGTCTCTCCACAAGGCAGGAGGGAGCAGTTGTGGCTCTCCCTGGCTTCAGCAGGGACAGCCAGGACAGATGAAGGTCGCCTTAATGAGTGTCTTCATCGGGTACCAGTGTCGTGACCTGGTGACAGCCCTCGGCAAGGAGCAGAGCTGGCTCCCTGGCCAGCCCAGGGGCGAGCAGATCCACCCCAGCAGAAGGAGGGGCAAGGGAGCAGCCAGTCAGCACCGGCTGAGCCGGGGCACAGGGGGTTAACAGCCCCTTGACTCGCAGCAGCCGCAGCCGCCAAATTAGCTTTTTGCTGCCCTAATGGAAACCAATTCCCCAGCTCTCCTTTTCCCACTAACCGCCTGAGCTCTGGATAATGACATTCCTGCGTGTCCTTCACCCTTTGGCCACTCCTTCCCCGCCAGSAGCCCGCGGCTCCCCCTCGGCCGTGCGGACCGCCGGGCTCAGCCCCGCTGCTCACCCCAGGGCTGGGGGTGCTGGGGGTCCCCAGCTCGGGGTTGTGCTGAGGATGAGGGCAGCGGGAAGGACCGCGGCTGGGAGAGAAGCAGCCCCGGGAGCGTGAYCGCCGCCCCCGCTCCCAGCCTGGGTGCAGGATGGGACACGAGGGGTCCCAGAGGTGACGGGYTTATTCCAGCATTCTGCCAGAAGCTGGGCAGAGGCGGAGCAGCCGCTCGATGGATTACAGCCGGCCCCGTCTCTCCGGCGGCTGCACATCGCTACGGCCGAAGTGGTCCTGAGCTCCCCTGGGGACAAGTGACCACGCAGGGTCGGTGCTGGCTGCGCATCGCTCTGCCCACTCGCAGGGACCGGGACGGGGACCGGGCCAGGGCCACCGCCGCGGCCACCACTCCCCGCGCCGGGGCCAATGGGATCCCGCCCGGCCCCCTCGCCGCGCACCGCCCGTGCGTAAATAGGGGCAGGAGCGGGACCGCGCTCCGGAGATGCAGCCCGGGAGGGAGCCGGACCGGGCCCGCCGGAGGTCGCAGCGTGCGGATGTGCCCCGGCGGCGCCGAGCCCTGAGAAACTTCGCACTCCAGGGATGAGCAGCTCCAGGAGGCAGCGAGGCGCCCGCCCAGCCCGACACACAGCTCCGCAGCGCCCGAGAGCCTCAGCCCCCSGATGCTGATCGCCGGCTCCCAGCCGACCCCCGGCAGCCCCCGGCCGGCCGGAGCACAGGTACGAGGCAGCGTCGGCTGAGCCGCGGCAGAGCCGGGCAGGGCGATGCCACCCTTCAGCTCTTTTCAAGCCCCACGGCAGGAATCGGGATCCTCTTTCGCGGGGTGCAAAAGGGCGCCTGTGGATGCTTGGTAGAGCCAAGCCAGCACTGGGACAGAGTCGGGAGGACGGCGGCAGATTTCGTTCCGCGTCTCATCGAGCCTGGCTGCACAGAGGCTCCCGCCCGCCACAATGTCCCCGCYGGTGGCCGCGGGCCCGCTCTGGCCGCGGGTGGCAAAGCTGCTCCTGCTGCTGCTCCAGCTGTGCGCCGCCGGCCGCGCTCCCCGAGCCTCCCCGCAGCCCCAGCGCTGCCCCGCCGCCTGCATCTGCACCTCCGACCTGCTGAGCTGCAGCCGGCAGATGCTGCAGCGGGTGCCCCAGGCACTGCCACCCACTACCACCACATTGGACCTCAGCCACAACGCCCTCACYCAGCTCCACGACCGCTGGCTGGCCACCCTCCCACACCTCGAGGCCCTTCACATCAGTCACAACCAGATTCGGGACCTTTCTCCGCAGGCTTTCCACAATGCCTCCTTCCTGCGGCACCTGGACATGTCCTCCAACCACCTGCACACCGTGGAGTCGCACTACTTCGAGGCGCTGGTGAGCCTGGAGGAGCTGCTGCTCTACAACAACCGCATCAAGCGGGTGGATGAAAACGCCTTTGCCAAGCTGAGCGGTCTGCGGAAAGTCTACCTGAGCTGGAACAACCTGACCGCCTTCCCCTTCCACGCAGTGCAGGGGCTGGGAGTCTACAACCTCCGCACTCTGGACCTCTCCTCCAACAGTCTGAGCAGCATCCCTGTGGAGGTGCTGGCGGCTCTGCCTGAAAGCATCAGCAATGGTTTGTACCTGCACAACAACCCCATCAGGTGCAGCTGCCCACTCTACCTGATGCTCCAGCACTGGAATCAGCGAGGTTTCAGCTCCGTCAAAGATTTCTTTGAGGAACACACCTGCAAGGTGTCTGACAGTGTGCCCCGGTCCCTGGTMAAGTTCCTCAAACACAGCCACATGTTTGAGAACTGCTCGGGAGGCACCGAAGATGCRCACCTCTTGCACTTGGAGGTGATGGTGGGCCAGCCCATCCTGCTCACCTGTAACACCAGTAACACCAGCCTGACGCATGCAGCCACCACCTACATGTGGATCACCCCTCACCACGAGCCCATCAAAGCCCCAGGAAACAGCAATCGCTCCCTGGAGGTCTATGCCAACGGCAGCCTGAGGATTGCTGTAGCCAAGCCCTGGCTCTCAGGGGTCTATGTAGGCTTGGCCATGAACAGCCCCTACAACTTCAGCAGGATGTGCGAGTTCAATGTGACCATTCTCTACCCCAAGCCAGCTGGGGAGACCTTCAGCACCGGCCTCACGACCCTGCTGGGCTGCATTGTGAGCCTGGTGCTGGTGATCATCTATTTGTTCCTCACACCGTGCCGCTGCCTGGGCTGCTGCAAGAAGCCGGCCCCGCTCAGCCCCCCRCAGGAGTGCAGCGCCCAGTCCTCCATCCTCAGCACCACTCCCCCTGCCACTGACGGGCCAAACCGCAAGGCCAGCGCCAACAAACACGTTGTCTTYCTCGAGCCCATCAGGGAGACACAGAACGGCAAGATCCGCCTGGCCCTCGGCGAGGACTTCCCYGACCCCAAGCACCCCAAGGTCCTGCAGTTCAAGTCGGACTCAGAGTCCATCAGCTCTGTTTTTTCTGACACCCCCATTGTGTCATAGCGGGGCAGAGCTGGGAGCAGTTGGCATCTCCCAAGAGCTGGTCTCCTCCATYGCTGCTAGAACAGGATTACTGGACACCCCGAGTTCCTGGCTTGACCACGACCCACGGGAGTGATCTGCACCACCCACAGCCGCTTCAGCCATGGGCTCCTGGTGGGTTTTTGGCCACAGGCACACTGATACCCTGCAAGAGCTCCTTGCACAATCCGCTACAATGGCCTTGTTAGTACAAYGGTAATGCCGATGAACCCATCATGCTGGAGAAACTCCCCCTTCATGTGGGCACCCACCCTCCCTCATGGTGACACTGGGGCTGGGCGTCTGCCATGTCCCCAGGCATGAGATGCCCACCTGASACCACTGCCACAGACCACCCCAGGCCAAGGAATAGCTGTGACAAGTGGGACACTGTCCTGGTTCATGCCACGGCCCTCAGGAATGGTGATGCCAGTGCCCATCAGCATGCCACGGCTGGAAGCAGGGGAACTGTGTCCCCATCACAGGAGGGGGTACACACTCTCTCCCCAAATGTGGCCACACAGGAGGGATGGAGCTCAGCRCCTGTCCAGCCATGCAGCCAAGCAAACCTTACAAGCTTTTGCATCCCGAGAAGCTGTAAATCGTCAAGGCAGGATTAGGTGATGAGACACAGCACCCAGCCCGCATTGCTCAGAGCTCCCCGTGCCACCAAGGACACTGAGGTCTCCGCTGCACCACGCGCTCCTTCGCTGCTTCTCCTTGAGGCGGACACGCGCTGCTCAAGCACAGCTATTTAGGCAGTAACCTAATCAGCCTATCGATAAATGTGAGTAATCCTCCCCTCTCCTGGGTCGTAATTCTCTAGGTCCATTGGAATAAAAATGCCTATTTTTTTAAGCTGACGCTGGGCTGAGTGTCTCCTTGCCCTTGCAGCAGTGCGCAGCCACCCTGCAGCTCACGGGCACAGCGGTGGCAGGCTGAGGACTGAGGGAGCCCCCAGTTCCTACAGGCCCAGCACACAGAGCCGGGCAATCTGCACTGGACTGGAGCCTCTGTTCCCATCAAATGGCCTTCAGGTGGCCTTAGCCAGGGGGTTAAATGTGCCAGTGGCTTGGTGCTGCTGAGAGGGAAGCACCCGGTGGTTTGTCCTTGGGAGGGCAGGTCCCCAAAATGATGCCTGGGAGCTGGGGAAGGAGCAGCACCGACTGATATGAGGGCACATCCAGACCCCAAAAGGAACAAGCAGGGTTTAGATGCAGGGAAAAGGCACTGCCAGGGATGGGACTGGTCCTGCCTTTGGCTTAGTCCTGGTGCTCCCTGCAGATGGAGCCCCCCACTCGTGTCACCTGCACTGCCTTTTCTGGCACCCACCCTTGCCTCTTCCTGAAACAGGGAGTAGTTCCATCCCTGCAAAATGCCTGTCTGAGCCCACAGAGGGATAAGGGTATCCTGCCCATCTRCCAGTCGCCAGTATCCCATCCACAGCTGGAGTAGGAGCATGTGGCTGTCACATGCAGCACAGAGGAGGCTGGGGCTACCCTGTGGGCAGGAGCACAGCTCAGACACCACGGGGACCAGCACCCTTCAGAGACCTGCAGCCCCCTCCCATAGCCAAGTGCCCTGGCCCCAGGAGCTGCTGGCAGCCCTGTGACTGGTGGGAGGGCAAGAACCCYGTGGCACTGGGGCCGCACTAGCACACATCCTTCAACTTCTTTRGCCAGGAAACAAGCAGCATTTTCCCCAGCGAAACCTCAACCCTGTGCCCAAATAAATTGTCAAAACCGTCCCCCCMACCATCCAAGGAGGGGCGAGTGTTTGTGAGAGCAGCTCTCCTGAGCCAGCCGCAGCCTCCCGGCGCTGCTCCTTCCAGTGACCTTGTGCAGCTCCCTGCGATCCGATCCGTGCCCCGGGGCCGGCGCAGGCGATGGGATGCAGAGCGACAGTCCCCGCTGGCCTGTGCCCTCGCTCCCCACACCGCCACCGCTGGCCCTGTCACCTCGCGTTAGTGCAGTGTCCTGACRGGCCCAGGAGCCGTGTGGCCACACCGGGTGCTGCCAGGGGCGACGAGGTGCGGCGGTGTCAGACACAGAGGCTGGAGTGGACCTGCTGCCRTCACCCCTGGCTTTGCACCCAGACAGGGATCCCATGGGAAGGAAGGTTTGAATTTGACTTGGGAATGTCTGGGAAAGAGAAGAGACCCAGCTGAGTGTGCCCAGGTCCAAACCAGACATGGACACTGCTCCCTGCGCCTGCTGAGACAGTGCCAAGCCCGTGCCACAGCATGTGCCACATCCAAGCACCACATCTTCCTCCAAAAGGGAAGATGAAGCRCTGCTCTGGGCCCCAGCACCTGGAGCAAGTGTTATCAACCCATTATCACCATCCTCGTCTGTCTCCTTGCTAATCTTCCCCGTCCCCACTGCCAACACCAGCTTCCCAGGCATTAGTGTTCCTGCAAACTGCATCCTCAGCTGAGGATAAAGCGTGAAGTTTGGGGAAAACTCATGGAGTGTTAGGAAAGCTCCCAGGGGTCTTTCCAGTGACCCACCAGGCTGAAGAAGCCCAGGAGAGCTCCTCTAGGCTGGCTGCAATTCTCCTATCCCTGCAGGAAAGCTGTGGTTTGCTCTCCATGGACTTGCTCTGAGGTTTGTATCTGTGCTGCCCTCAAGGGATCCTACTGCCTTTACCCAGGAAAGTCCTGCTGCTGCTTTTCACACATTCCTGATGCTCAGAAAGGATCCCACACCACATTGCTGATCCAATGAGCACTGGGAGGCGGTTTGAACTGTCGAAGCAGTTCATTAAGCAGCCTGAAAAGCAGAATATCTCAGCAAGGAAAAACAGCCAGGAGCACAGCCTCTCTGACAGATAGGAGCTGGGAAAGTTAATGGATGTTCCCCAAGGWATACACTGTCCTCTCCTGGCAGCCATCTCCACCATTACACCCCTGGTTTCCTGCCAAACCTCSCTCTGCTCCTTGACTCTGCAGGGTAAAGTAATGGATCAGCACAAAGCTCGGTGGTCCTGGCACGCAGGGAGCTGGGCCAGCCTGTGTGGGGATAAGGACGAGCTCTGGGATAAAGATGAGCTTTGGGATAAGGATGAGCTTTGGGATAAGGACAAGGATGAGCTTTGGGATAAGGATGAGATTTAGGATAAGGACAAGGACGAGCTTTGGGATAAGGACTAGCTTTGGGATAAGGATGAGCTTTGGGATAAGGACAAGGATGAGCTTTGGGATAAGGACTAGCTTTGGGGACCCCTATCCAATGCTGACTCCTATCTCCCCTGGCACTTCACACCTCAGTCAGGACAATGGGGATGTGCTGAATGCCAGTGCCATCCTGTCCTCCTGTCACCAAGGATGGACACAGGATAAACACGGCAGGGCCTGGATCCTTCCCTTACAATGCTCRCAGTTTTCCAGACAGCTCCGATCAGCAAAGCCTGGTGCTGGCCAGYACAAGGACTGCTCCTGCCTCCCTCCCAGCATGTGCCTGACAGCCCTGAGGGGCTGGGAGAGCCCAGGCCYGGCAGTCCCATCACTCAGGACCGGCAGCTTGTAAAAACTGTATGACCAGACTCAGACCTTTTTTAACCATGAAACCTAGGGCAGAGTTAGTCATTCTCCCCTGCCCTGACTCACCCTGTTACGTCACACACTGCAAGACTGGAGTATCACAGCAAGGTAGCAAGGATTCCTTTAGACTGTGTGGTCCATGAAATGTCTGCTCCTGTCCCTCCTTCCACCAGAGCTTGTTCACCAACACCACTGAGGGAGCACTGGTGTTTAAGGGATCAGTAATTACAGGGTCCAATAGGAACTGTGCAGAAAACCACCATGTCAACAGGGAACACCCAAATCCCCAGGGTCCCAGCAGGGCTCGAGCACGCAGGTGGGTGGCCAGCCTGTTTGGGAACCTGCAGACTGGGATCTGCTGATCTTTACAGTGGAGGTGATCCCAAAACCATTTAGCAACTGAGCAGTCTTCTTAGCCTTCCTCTCCCACCCAGACTTGTGCCTCCTTGCCTTTCTACTTACCAATGCCTTACTTCTGCCTTGGGAACCTCTGTCCCCTCTCAGCCCATCTCTCTGCATCCATCTGTACTCTGCAGACACTCAAGATGGAAATATCCCAACACCACATCAGCCCAGTGCTGCTTCTGGCAGGTCCCACTGACTCTTGCTCAGTATCCCATTGGTACAGCATGGCTGTTTCTGGCCCAGGGTCCCTGTCCTGTGCTCTGATGGCTGGTACCACCATGTTCCTGGTGAGCACAGTGATCTTCCCTCTGTCTTCTCCATCTGTCATGCACAAGTCCGTGGGAGATGCACCTCTTTAGGACTTGTCCTGTACAGACTGGTTTGCTGGCTCCTTGCATGTGCCCCAACCTCTCCTCACCCTGAGAGCATCAGGCCCCTGCCTCTGAGGGGATGGAGGGAGCATGGGGGAAGCCCAAGGGGCAGAGCAGAGTCTGAGCACCAACACAACACAGCTCATCTCCACTCTGGGATGGCCACTCACTTCCCACAAAGCCAGTCCTAATTACAGCGTGCCCTCACACACAGGGGACCACAGCCTCACCTCTGGGCCTCACCCCTTCCCCTGCTGCTTGCACTTGCCAGGATCCTGACACCAGCTCTGGCCAGTGCTGCTCCATTAGCTCACTCTGWAAAAGGCTTAATAGAAAATCTGCTCAATTATTTAGCAAGCAGACAACCGGGGCTATGATACTGCCTGAAGGCAGCCAGGGTCTGTGGCATGGATTCAGCCCAGCTCCTGGCTCAGCCTGGCAGATCCTGCCTTCCCTCTCCTGCCCGCTCKGTCATCAAGGCTGGCACAGGGAGCAAAGGGACATCCCTGCCCTTGGCCCTGCCAGCCCCTGAGACTCCACAGTGCTGCCCAGCAGCTCTCAGACCTCAGGGCTGGGAGCAGGCACTGAAACTTTGGCTGATCATGAGCAGCACCAGCCCAAACTGCCTGACCCAGCAAGCAAATGCAGCTCTGCTCTCTCAAAAGCACAGCCTGCAGCATCCAGGGACTACGGCAAATGATGGATCAACTGTCTCACCACAGCTCGGCCTGGGCAATGTTCCCTTTCCTTGTGCTTAATGGCTCTGTTTGATGCCACGAGCCCACAGCAAGAGGACCTGATGCCTGGATGACTGTCCTGTGCTGGGAAAGGAGCAGCTCAGGTACCTGACTGCAGCCTGATAATGTGACTGGATGAGTTGGCAGGGCCCTGGCTCGCTCACTCACTCACTCACTCACTCACTCACTCACTCACTCACTCACTCACTCACTCACTCACTCACTCACTCACTCACTCACTTCCTTCCTCTCTGGAATGTTCTCATCCCATAAATGGGATTTCGTTCCTTCACTACCTGATGAGCCCATTCTCTATGTCCCAGGTCTTTGCAGCACCTTCCAACCAAGTGCTTGGCACAGTGTCTGCTTGCTGGGTTAGAGGCAACCAGAAAACACACAGCCAAGCCACGGAAGTCTCCCAAGGTCCCGTCCTTGTCCTCATTCTCTGGGGCACAGCCTCCTCACAAGGAACAAGGCAGGGTCACCCTGACCCTGGAAATTCCCACAGAGATGTTCCTACATGCAGATGTGGGCTGGAAAATCTCTCTGTTAACRATGTCTGGCAATCTGGGAGTTACCAAATGGGACCTGGAAGAGATTTCCAAAAGCTTCCCAGGCCGAGTGCTTATGGGGAAGGACAAAAGCTCATCCTGTTATCCTGCTAGCTGTACTGAGCGGGAGAAAGCTGTCTTCACAGGAGCTGACATAAAYTGGTCTGCTCTGGAGAGCCTGGTTACATACAGGACCCATTAAATCACTTCAGCCATGGCAATCATCTCCCATAGGA